AAAGAATCTGGAAAGCTATAAATCGTAATAACATAAACTTCAAAATTGCTTTCTATTTAGTTTCTTTACGGGAAATGCAATTATTGTAGCAAGCACAACCCTCTATTAGATGAGGTTTTTTTGTTGTTCCCGTTACAGCTCACAATTTGGAATATATAAGGAAGGAGTTAGCTACCCGAAATAGTAGAGTTCCTACTTTTTAAATAGTGTTAGGGGTGTGCAAATTTGTTTTTCTTACATCGAGGCAAGCCACAAATAGCGACATTTATAAGGTATTGCACGGACTGCGATGCTAATTAAATTCTCTCGAAGGATTTTGGTAAGCAAATTTCCGAATATGGCTTAGTTGGATAGTGAAGCTAATTAAATGTACGGGTAACTAAACGAGAATTTGTCGCATACTTCCCTAATATGGATTAAATTATCTTCAAGAGGATTCATTTATAAACTTTTTCCACATAACATATCACGTATGGTGATAAGAAACCTATTTAACCCCAACTACTTTAATAAAATTTAGATACGACAGTTATGTAGGCTAGCACTAGAGTACGATGAAATAAACCACGTATTGTCATATCTCCAGTTAATTCCTTTTTTAAGATGATTTGCTCTCTGTCCAGGCGAAAATCTGCTTTACCTTGATAATGTGATATGACAATTCGTTTTCTCAACTGTTTTATATCACCTTCGATTTTGTTGCTTAAAACGCCGAATTCTTTGCGCCTTTGTCGGCACGTAGACCAATGGAAAAATGCAGCAATAAACTAGTATATTAAAACATTAGTGTATAATGGTGTGTTACAACGACCATCATAATCGCACACTATAACCGAATGTTTTATGCTATTTACACAAAATATCAAAGTATGCTCGTTTTTTCGAAACAATTCAACTTTTGCTCGAAAATCTAAAAGATGGAAGCGTCATCATCAAAAACTAAATTAGTGAACAGCGAAAAAAGATCTGAATTAAACTGCTTACAAAAAGGAATTTGAAAAAGTGACTTCGTGGTTAAGACAAAAAAAGTGGAAACTGTTCTACTTGCTTACTTTTGGACCAAGTACTAAGAAACCTTCTCATTTTGCTCATATGTATTCCATTTTCTTTGCGGTGCACTTTTTCAAAGCTGAAATGTATGCTGCGGATAAAAAAATAACGCAGGGGCCCAAAATTGATAGCCTTCATAAAAAATCGTTCCATTGGTTATGTACCAGAAAAACCGTAAATATTTTCAAAGGAGCAGTTGATGAAACGTATTTGCTTTTGAAGGTACGATTTCAATATGTCAAAGCTGCTGACATTAAATTAATATGTTTGTAGGTGGTTGCCATTTTTGGCCTGTTTGGGGCTTGCAGAAGAGTAGAATTTGTAACGAAGCATTATTATTGATTACGGTTTATTACTTGTTGAAAGATCCCCGTAACATTTAAAGCAATTTGATAGATGGCTCCATCTATTGTTGGAATTTAACGACGCAAATGTCGATTTTTCTCGTCCCTTTTTTTGTAAGTCGTATCGAGATACACTTTGTTTACACAAACAGCTGATAGCGCGAGTAGAACGGATGGAATTTTAATTGCCATCATCCATATTGATCTCTGGCGATTGGATTCATAATTTGGGGATTCCGAAGGACTTAGTGGACGGAATTTACCTATGCATCGAGTGAGGATATACATTTCTCTTTATCGTAAGTACCGCGATTTGCATTTTGTTTACTTACAGTGTATCTTTTTAGCGCATTTCCACAAAAATAAGAAAAAATGCCCTAGTTTGGCCACTTTGTCCGTCCGTCCGTCCGTTCCATAATTTTACACTTTTGCCGTTTATTAACGATCCTAGAAATCGTTTATAATTTTGTATTGCTGTCTGTCGTCTGTCTGTTGGTCTGTCCGTCTGTTCCTTTGTCTGTCTGTCCCTCTATCTGTCCGTGTGAACGATAACTTTGTTTAGAAATGTCCGATCGCTTTGACATCTCCGTTAGTTATAGGCGCTTGGAATAAAGGAAAACGCCAGTTTCAAAATTTGGTTTTGCGCTTGCACAGGGCCAACTTTCTTATTTAGAAAGGCATTAAAATGAAATTCTTCTTATAAACAGAAATTGAAGTAGCACGTCAAAAATGGATTGCACATGTGCAACGCTATCTTTCATGTTTGTGGCCGGATTTTTACGATTTTAACAGAAGTTGCATCTTACAAATGGGAAATGAATCCACGTGGAAATGCGCTTTCTGTAAATCGTTTACGATTACTTTTTGCTTGTTAAACGTAACTGTGCTCGGATTTAAAATGGGCATCGTCCTTTAAAGTACATATAAAACATCTAGTTACCTTATTGGTAATAGTTTGAAAACAGGTGGCTAGCTCTCTAACCAAATACAGAAACTTGTAACCAGACCCCGCTATGGACTTAAATTTTTCTCAGTGTCTTAGGTGTCAAGTGTTAGGAAGTATACAAGATCATTTTCAAATTTTTTCAAAGGATTCTTAATGAATATGGCGATCTATATTTTGTGAATTATTGGCTTCCGGATGGAAAATGGAATCCGCCTCATCTACACGCCGCCATATTGACTCCAAACGAACCGGAAAGTAAAGAACGTGAATATATTCAATCCAAAAAGGCTACAAATTGTCCAAAAACCAATAAAGACTAAAGCAGGAGACATGGATAGGTAAATAAACAAGGTATTGCATTGTACCGTATGGGTGGCACTCCCTAGGCACAGACGTTTTCAGGTTGCATCAACAGCCGTCTGTGTGGCCTAACGGCGTCGTGATATAACTGCAGGGACCGCCAGCTTTGCATGCCCTCCGAAGCATGGTAGTCAGGAGGTGTTCCGAAGAAGTCTTCAGTCGAAGAAGAAGAAAAAGAATATGGAGGGAGAGAATACTAAAAAGAAGAAGAAATTGAATGAGAAAACTTCTTATTCTAAGACTAAAAATAGACCGTGGAGTAGACCTACTGGGGAAACCACGTTAAAAAAAGCACGTCAAGTACACTAGAACTTTAGTAAATTTTGGAATCGCTTTTTCTTCTCAGAAATACTGAATCTTAGGGGAAAAAGTTTAAGAACAATTTTTGTAGATAATTGCATAATGTGCCATTATTGTGTGAGCTATTTTTCTCGTAAAACTAACCGTTTCGCTAAAAAATCTAAAAACTCCGTTTTTGCTAAATTTGACCTTGTATAAAATTTTTTGCACACACGGGATCGATGGGGAATTTTTACAATTTCACGGACGGAGAATGAAGTACCTAACCATAGTGTGGAACGGAAGAACTGTGAAAAGGCAGATGTCCCCTGTAATGCGGATGTTACTATAATTGAAACTTGTAATTATAGTGAGAACTGTTGTACAACAATTTGCTGCTATACGGTTGAAAATTATTTCGTGTATATGACGGAAATATAGCGTTAAATTTTTAATCAATCAACAAGTACACCTTTGTCATTCATATAGCACGCTTTTTCCACTGTACATAGATTTTTGTTCCATTTTACCTACATACATTACATCCAATGGACAAATATGTACGTCTTATGTACTTACGTACAATTGTGTACGATCACAAACTATCATTCTATTACGTACATGGTACGCCGGTAATTTCGGCCAACTAGTAATTATTGTGCACGTGACTATGAAATGCATGTTTATGAATTTGACGGATGTGATATTGTAGCGAATTCGAAAAAACTCTACTATGTATGTCCAGAAAAGTACGTATTATGGCCGTGAACAAGAGTAAGTACTTAATAGTACGTCTAATGTACGTACGGCAAAGTTCGTACCAATCTTGTACCAAGTAGTGCAAAAATAACGTTCCATGTATGTGAAATGTACGTACATGTATCGTAAGTGTACGTGAAATGTGCCCAGCGCTGTACGTACTATGTATTTGCAATGTACGTATTTGTGTTCTTTGGGTCAATGTAATTTGGATATTTGAAATCCCTTTGCACTTTGAGTTTGAGTTTTTACAAAAACAAAACAAAACAAAAACTGCAACAATATATTCAAGTGTGGAACGGGTTTTACAGCAAGGCCGTTTTTTATCAGCCTTATTACCTTATACTAATTACAAGTGAAAGTTTACAAAAGCTGATTGGCCTAAAGTACCTCCTTCACCATTATTTGTAAACGTCATTGGTATTTTTGTTTTATTTTTCAATGTTCAATGACCACAAACGCGAATACAGAGAGAAGGGCAGACGAGTAGGGAAAAGAAGAGAATTAAATGAATATTGTACAATGAGTAAACCCCAAAGTTCAAAGGAGAGTGGGCATGAGGTCGAAAACAGGCCGAGATGGGCACAAAGAAGAGAGAGAGAGAGAAGATGGGAGCTTCATTCTACTAGCCTACTATTGGATGCTTGTCTTTCCTGAAGCGGAAAACGCATCCAGACAGTTTTAGCGACAGTTGCGATTAATGAACGACTGAAAATCAATTGGGACTTGTACTTGAACTGCTTCAGAAGCCTTACATGTATAGAGGCAATGATTTATTCTTAAACTTGTAATCCGCTGTTACGTAGATATATTGTTATGCGACCATAAAACTATAATAAAAGTGAATTGGTCTGGCAAGAGGTTTAATACGTTCATCGAGTGACATTCGGTCCAATTCCTAGCATGATTTATTAACCGAAAAATGTAGTAAAAGTGGATGTCGTAACTTATGTAGGATTTAATCAATAGTTCCCGAAGCTTACACTGTTTCAACCCCTATTGAAAATGAATTAATCATCGGCGAATGAAAAGTGGATTAAGTTGAAACGTAGTTTGCAAAGTTTAATATGCAAGTCATTTCCCATTAGGGTTACAATATCTTAAATATTTCGGCGCTTGAATCATTTCCGATGGCTGACTCAACGTTCCGTTTTCCCACAAACGTGTTTGCGTGTGAGGGTCCGCACGCCAGATATTCATTAAAGGGCTTTACCATGCGTTGGGAACGTGCTCGAACATAATGCGTTAAGTCTTGTACTCACCCGAATGCTTGGATGGGGGGCTGTAGTATGATGGTGCGACGCAGGCCTCCGTTGGGCTCACTGGGGCTCCACCAGTTGCGGTTGATTCATCCCAATAATCTCTATTCGCAGCTTGATACTTGTTGCTCTGTTTCTTTACCATGTAGCAGCGCGGCATGGTGTTGGAGTTATTGATTTAGTATTAGCAGTTTGTATGAGTGAAGCTTTAAAGAGAGTATATTGCTTGCGATATTTATTGACGAGCCGTATAATGGAATGTGGTGGCAGGTGGTTGCTGTCGCGTAGGAGGAACAAGTGGTGATGGCGGCCGAGTGATGTCGGTATAGGTGGGTCCGTGCAACAAGTAGTAGCAACACGATGCCGGCTTATCCAACAGGTAAACAACTTGTCGTGTTTGCATCCGATATTCACTTCAAACAGTTCAGTTCCAAAAGGTAAAGCCACCTTCAAAATTTGGTAAGCATCGTAAAGGCAAAACGGGAAGAACTCGTTCCTATGCACATGCACCACTGGGATATACATAAAACTCACTTAAATGCCTAAATTTGGACGGTTTGTTAACATTTTCTGGTTTGAATAAATTGGCAAAATTCTGAAAATTGTGTTCCCCTTCCCTTTGACTTCTCTCTCAGTGTTTACGGAATGTGTTGCGTTATCCTTTGGCAGGAGTTTTATCACTAATTGCACGAGTTGGTAATTTATTAATCAACATTGTTCACTATTACTCACTGACACTCACGAACCCTTGATATATGTGTAAGAGAAGCGGACGCACCACTCCCTGGTAGCAAGTGCTCGCGTCGCGACGCCAGGCACGGGCGGGGTGACGCTTTAAGCGCAGGCGTCCCTCCTCCGCGTGCAGGAATCGATCCGGGACCGACACCTGTTACCGAATTCATCAATTCCCCTTCCTATTTCTTTCTCTTTCGACAATAAAATGCAGCGTATGTATCCTGCATAGCATTACATACGCGCGTTCCCATTCCAACCCAGATGCATTATTGAAAGGATGGGGCGCAAATTCCGACTTTCACAAACATCCCTCACTCGACGCGCTGACATTTAAATGTAATATTACTTCACGAAATTTCACTAACGTCCAGTTTTTTAAAGTGGAATCCTGCGTCATCCTGCTAAAGTTTGAAGCACGCTATTATACGCTCTTAAGCTCATTGTACTACAAAGTTTCCGTAATATATCAGCTTATACGTCTAATCCAAAATGTCGTATTTCAAAAACAAAGTTACCCTTAGAAGTGTAGCCATTCTTTCGTATCCTTTTTTATTACACGCAGATTGAAAAAGATTTATTGCAAAATATAAACTTTTTCGCGTGTAACCCGACAGTTATCCGCTCATTGGCATTTTACAAGACAAACCCCATTAAAATTAAACTTGCATGTGGGAAGCAACAGAAATTAAATTCAGCATTTAAAATTCAGTTCGTGGTAATTTTCGGGCGAAGTTCCTCAAATTTGATTAATGATATAATAGTTGACCTAAATTTTATTAATGATCATATTTTATAACTACCAAAATTATGAACTATATAGCGATAGTTAATTAGTTTATGGCATGACTGCAGGTTTTGTAAGACGCAGAGGTTGAGCAAACACTTCATTGGACGGAAAGATTAGGAGCGTTAGATGTTATGAAAACTGCTTTTAGAAAACCGTATCTAAAATGAAATTAAATTTTTCGAAAGGTTGATTTCTATGGTTGGCACGAGGGTAGGCATCAACGTTATCAGTGAATTAACTGTGCCGGTGATGGTATTGACACAATATGCACTTTTCCACGAGGATTATATCAACTTAGTATCATTTCAGCTGAACAGTTAAGGATTCAATGTTTCAAATAGTGAATCAACTGTGGTAAAACTAAAAGAGACCATGCTGCAGATGTGACGGTATCAGGGTCCTCATAGGACCTGAAGAACGAACTGTAGAGAAATAAAATGTAAATACAAAAAATGTGCAAAATTCCTGACGGAACAGCTTCCCAGCTCAAACCAAAAATCGTATTTTTGGAAGAGGGTCTTCAAAAAATGGTAAGTGAAGGAAAAAACGTGTCCCACAAAAGCTTATTATATTAGGATGTAGAGTAAGAAGATTCAATAAAAACTATAGATTTCTACTTGAAGAAATTAAGTTTTCCTACACTTGACCATTAACGGCCAGTTACTGAAAATGTGCGTAGCCAAGAATATTTTTATGTAAGGCATCCCCGCTAGTTGCCGCAATAATCGACTGTCTCAAGATAAATAAGACACCCTGCATATACGTTTAAAAACGGTTTTAAAGAGGTCTGAAGTGATAAATTCGATATTGGTAGTATGGTATACGTTTTTATGTAGACCGATTTTATACCTACGTTTAAAATACGATTTTTATTCATACATCTAACCATTGAGTTCACTTTCTACGTTGATAATACGTATATAAATAACCGTTTTTTAGCATTCGTTTTATAAACGTATATAACACCACTTTAATATACGCATATAAGTCGCATATCAATGAGAAATAATAAATGCATAATATTCTTACAAGAATACAGCAACATCCACCGGACATTTATGCGTATTATATGCGTAGGGTTTTAGTCTACAATAAACGCTTTTTATACGGAACTGGGTTGCTAGGGAAGTCAAATATAAGATTACGAAACTGGAAAGCGCAAAGTTTACCGCAACTCACAAAAGAAATGACCGCTAAACCCCAATTCGTTTGGCTTATGCAGTTGGATTTACACTCCAATAAATAATCCCCTGAAACTGATACCTTTTGTAGACAAAAATGCTTGTTTCAAAAGTATCGTATATAAATCGCTACTTATTATCGTTATGTTCCGAATTCTAGGTCTGTGTTGTAGTCGGACTTTCGTAGAATACGTTCTCTCATAACCGCCCCACGTTCTTGTGAGTCTACGCGCTCTTTTTGGCGCATTTTTTAAGATTTAAAAAAATGTGCCATTGTTTGCGTTTTGTCCGTTTGTCCGTCCGGATCAACTTCTACCGTTTCGAACTACTTCTAGGAGAATAGTCCTAGAATCCTGGAATTTTTGCAGTAGGTAGCCTATACCTTGAAGGGGTGCCAGACGGCCATCAAATTTCGCTGTCCAAACCCCCCCCCCCCCCTCACGAATTATTTCCTGAGATGCTGTTTTTGAAAGTCAAACGTGCATAACTTTTACATACGACAACCAATTGGTCTCAGATTTTGCACGCATGCCTCTAGTGGTGGCAAGTTTAACTTTAGACAACAAATTGAGCAAACTTAACTGCGCCGACGACGTAGCACAAAAGGACGGTAGCTATCAAAATTTGAAAATACATGTTTAAAAATAACTAAACGGTAGCGTCAATCGTCGCATTACTTAATAATAGATTAGATTCTAATATCGAAGTTGATTAATTATATGATCAAAACACTTAAAAGTGATAAAGATAACGGATTTGACACTCAAGTTTTGAAGTTAGAAACACGTGGATGAAATGAACAAAAAGTTTCAACATCTTCAGAAAAAGTTGCAGCGTCCCTTTAGGAGAACACCTGAATGTTCTAAATGGTAGGGTTTCTAAACTCATCAGTGCCATATCAATGCTTTATGGAGTATTCAAAGGCGAACCTATAAACAAGCTCCGCTATCTGCGAGGCTATCTCTATAGGGCAATCGCCGGCTACGCGTGTAGTGTGTGATTTACTCTTACCTGATAAGGTAATTGTACAACAATCGGCAATAAGAATAGACTCTGGGACCGGCGCAAACAACAACAATCTAGTAGTAGTCACCCTTGGATACTAGGTATTGGGGGTAGTCAAGGTAAAAAAAAATGCAAGGTGCTCATTATATATCGAATATAGTATATATCTCGGTAAATATCGACTGTATACAAAATTCTTCTAAGTTTATTTCCCATAATAAGGCAGCATTCAGTTGTTTTTATTTCAGAAAACAAAGGAATAACGATAAACAGATTGAATTTTTTTAAATAGCAATGCTTCACACAAAAAACAAATCATTTAAATGAAGAAAATTTTGCGTTGACCGAAGCACATATATGTTTGGGTAGGGCCAACTACATGTAGGTATATTTCAGTCTAAATGACAATATATTTAGGCTATGACGCGAATTTTTATTAACCCAGACACAAATCAAATTGATTTAACAATTAATTTGGTTTAAGTGAAAAACCTATTTTTTCTGCTACCCTTGGAATTTATTTGGTTTATATACATTGCGCCTAAATTGAAAGTATCGACGTGTTTGAATTAAAAACCATATTCTAGAATCTAGATCTAAATTTAAAAATATTTAAGCCAAATATATCATGCCTGACTAAACTAAACTTAAACATTGTTCAAGCCATACTTTGAATTGAAGCAACTATTAATTATTTAACCCAAAAGCTACATATTTCTTATTCGAAATGCGTACAGATGAGACTAAATAATATTTTGTTGACGCATATATACCATTTTTTGATTTAAATATTGTGCGAAGAGCAACCGAATCGAATTTTACGACAGGTTTTTATTGGAGGGGGAAATATTTATGCACCCATGCGATTGAAATGAATTAATTTCGTTCCAGAGATTTATTTAGTTACTTAGCCAAAGGCTCCTCTGTAGTCAATCCGCCATATTGGAAAAAATAGCTAAACGTTCTTATGAAATTCTGCTTTTGTAGTTGCAGTCTAATTCTCGATAGTGGATATTAGCGGTAGGTACGAGAAATCAAATGAAGGAAAACGAAACAATATCCCTCCTTAAAATTAATACAACAGAAAGTAGCAAAAAGCTTACCTTGCAGTGCAGTGGTGTAACGATTTATTTTTTCCGTTACGAAACATTACTATTGTTTACGGGTTACTACTTGTCGAAGAACCCCCGTAGCATTAGAAGCGATTTAATAGATGGCTCCATCTATTGATGGTAGTTAACCACGCAATGTTTCGCCTGAGATATGAAATGGTAAGAAGCCATTTTGCCAACTTTATTAGTATTTTCTTTTCAGACATTCGATATCTGACTGTTACGCCGACGTAATTTAATAATTGTCACTAACTTTATTCGTATTAATTGGTTTTTACGACCTCGCATTAACTTAGAGGTCTGTATGTTTGAGATTTTACGACGGGCGTTTTATGTAAAATTCGTAAAGGGCATTTCCTGCTGAACAATACCAGCCTAGCTCGAGGATGTTAAAACTACCAGTGTGATTCCGTGCGAATATATCAAT